GTGGCCGCCCCAGTCGTCGCCGAGCGGGCCCGGCTCGCCCGGGTAGGCGCCGAGCACGTAGAACACGTCCCGCAAGTGGAGCCCGTCCGACCGGACGTGCAGCATGACCTGTCGGGGCGCCGGCTCCGACTCGTCCGCGGCGTGGGGCACCGGCATCAGGTTGAATGTGGCCCCTGCGAGGTCGGCGTGCTCGCGATGGCGGCGCCGAGTCGCCCCGAGCGGAGCACGGCCAAAAGTCTGAGACGCGGGGAGGGCGAGGGGGGAGGTCGTCGTGGGGGCGTGGAGGCGCGGAGGCGGCGTGCGGGGACGCGCGGAGGGCGGTGGTGGTGTGTGGGAGGTGGACGAGGGAGAGCTGAGGCGGCCGGCGGTGGTGGCGGGAGCAGCGGAGGCGACGGCGTCGGAGGCAGTGGTGGGGAGGGAAACGGCGGCGGCTGTGGCGGAGACAGCGGCAGCGGCGGTGGCGAGGGCCTAGCCTGAGGGGGAGGGGGTGGGGGAGGGGATGAGGACGGTGAGGGCGGCTGGGGCAGCCGGGAAGGCAGCACAGGCGAGGCGCGGCGCACCTCAAACTCGAGCGAGTAGCGGGAGTATCACCCGCTGCTCCGGCGGGAGATGCTCCCCCGCCGCCCCCTGGGCCACCCCGAGTGACCTCGCAGCCCACGCCGTGAGGCGCTGCTGTCAGAGGGGTGTATCACCGCCGTATCAACCCCACACTGACCGCCGAGGGGCCCGGCGGGCTGAGGCGCGCGAGGCGGCTTTCGCTCCCGTGGGGCGGCTCTACCCGTCTCAGCACGGCGTCCCGAGGTGTAGCCGTGTACCTGGTGGCAGGGCCATCACTCACGCGCCTACTCGCGGCACAAGGGAAGGCGTGACGCGATCGCGAGAGGCGAGATGGGTGATGGCGAGACAGTCGTTTGGCCCGTTTGAGGCAGGAGTGGTGGCCGCAAACGATGAGAACGACGAGGCATCGCGCGCTTGTGGGGGAGGTGGAGGGAGGCGGAGGCGTGGGCGAGGTGGAGGGCGGCGGGACGCGAGCGGCGGCGGCGGCGGTATGGGGGAGGTGGAGGGAGGCGGCGGCGTGGGCGAGGTGGGGGGCGGCGGCGGCGTGAGCGGTGGCGGCGGCGGTGTGGGGGAGGTGGAGGGAGGCGGAGGCGCGGGCGAGGTGGAGGGCGGCGGCGGCGTGAGCGGTGGCGGCGGCGGTGGGGAGAAGGTGGAGGCTGGCGGCGGCGTGGGCGAGGTGGGGGGCGGCGGGCGAGGTGGGGGGCGGCGGCGGCGTAAGCGGCGCCGCCGCCGCGATTTTAGGTAGTGGCGTGCTGTGAACAAACAGCGAAGAAGACGCCTGTGGAAAAGCGCCGCTGCTACTTTGTAGTGCGTGTATATTTTGGAGGCCCCCCTAATGTAAATAGATAGAGTGGGCGATGCACGAGCACCAGAGGCACAACAGCGCGCACCCCGCCCCGGCAACGCCGGATTTCTTTTCCCCATTGCGCTTGTTTGTTTCGATATTCTTCATTCATCATCGGATCGGCCAACACGTATGTGCCTCGCGGACGTGGGCCGTCTCTATTGTTTTCAGTCCATTTTTTCTGTTTTAATTCCCTTTTGTTCGCATTGTTTTTTTTTCGCTCCGACACGAACAAAAAATCTGGAAGATTTTCTTCCCTCCAACTTTCCGCTCGGATCCTCCGAGCTGTCACGGACCGCGACACGACCACGATGCTCTCCGCGAACCTCACCGCCTCCTTTGTGGAGACCAAGACCGACGGCCAGCACCTCTACTGCGCGGCATGTTGCCGCTTCCACGATCGCGACGGCTTCAGCATGGTCCAGCGACGGAAGCCACCCGGCCGGCGCTACTGCACTCAGCCGGCGCCAAGGCGGCGGGCCGAGCTCGACGCCGATCACAGTGCTCCAGCCGAGCCAGAGCTGACCGCCGCCGCCATCGTCGACGGTGCCGCGCGTGCGCGCGTGACGCTTAGCGACCCGCCGGCCATGCCTCAGGCCCGCTATCAGGCGGACAGCACGATGTTCACGCGTCGGCGGCATGGGTTGGGAAGCCACGAAACACTGCTCGTCGGAAACGCGCGATCAATCTCCCAACCTTTGGGTTGCAGTCGTTACGTATCACCGGTGCGGCGCCCGTCCAGCCGGGTCGCTGTACTTTGCTGACAAAAAGCGAGGGGTGACGGGCTGCAGCACCAACGCGACTGCAGGCGGAGCCTCGCCATCGCCACCATAGGAGGCTCTGCGGCGGAGCCCTGGCGATGGGATTTGAAGGCGGTGAGTCCTGAACTCACGCGCCGCTGCCCCGAAAAAATTCTCGCCGGCGCGTTTTCTCTCTTTGCCTTTGCCTCGGCGCCTCTTTGCCTTTGCTTCGATCGAAATGGAGGACATAAAAAAGGGATGTATGATCGCCATTGGCACCGGCGGCGCGACGAAGATCGGCAAGGCCACATACGTCGACCGCAGACGGATGGAGGTCCAGGTGCAGTGGCAGCGAGTGCCCGGCGCGTTCTCGAACCACTTCTCCGTGCATGCCGTCGGCGCGAAGACGCCGAAAAAGAGGCGCATCCGCAAAGCCACTGACGTCGACCTGAGCGCGTACCGCGACGCTCACTTCGCGCCGCGATGCTCATCGCGCGGCGCTGCACCAGCGGCGGCCGGCGAGGCGAATGGCGAGGCGGCTGACGAGGCGCCTTCCGGCGGTCTCACAGAGGGTGGCGTGCCGGCGGGCTACACCTCGAGCCCAGAAATGAACGGCGTCGAGGTGCCGCAGCAGGCGGCAGCCTCCGATGCGGTCATGGCAGGTGAGCGAGGCGAGGAGGAGGCGGTGCCGGCGTGGCTCGACAGTGGCGGGCGGGTCAACGCGACGTTCGAGAGAGGCGGCGTGAGCGGCCTCACGCTGCTGATGGACGCCGCCCACCACGGCCACGAGCTGCTGGCC